GTGTTATTTCTTACAGAGAGTGGAACGAGGAGCAGAGGAGGGGGTTACTATCCCTAACATTTCCTTCTGGAGTAACATAAGAATCACTGAATTGTTTTCGATACTCTATATGTATCTGTGATGCTAGAATTGGATAAATAACAATGCTAGTTATGCCTAGCCGGTGTGGCTCAGTGGTTGAGCATTGACCTATGAACCAGGAGATCGCTGTTCGATTTCCGGTCAGGTTGCAGGCTCGATTCCCCTAGTAAGGGGCATGCAGGAGAGAGCCAATCAATGATTCTCTCTCATCATTGATGTTTCTATCTCTCCCTTTCTCCCTACCTCTCTGAAATCAATAAAAATACTTTTATATTTGAGAAAACTAATCAGATAAGGTATATTCTGAAAACCTGGAATAAACATATTAAAAGGGGAAATTTAATGAGTAAAAGTGGTCAGAGAAGAAGGGAGAGAGGTGGAAACATCCATGATGAGAAAGAATCATTGATCTGCTGCCTCCTGCAGGCCTCCCACTGGGGATCCGGCCAACAATCTGGGCAGGTGCCCTGACCAGTAATCAAACTGTAACCTCCTGGTTCACAGGTGGACACTCAACCACTGAGCCACACTGGCCGGGCATGGTCCTTGATTTCTTTCTTTTTTTTTCTTTTTTTTAAAAAAAAGTTTAAATGAGACTTTTTAAAATATATTTTATTGATTTTACACAGAGAGGGATAGAGAGTTAGAAACGTTGATGAGAGAGAAACATCGACCAGCTGCCTCCTGCACACCTCCCATTGGGGATGTGCCTGCAACCGAGGTACATGCCCTTGAACAGAATCGAACCCGGGACCTTTCAGTCCGCAGGCCGATGCTCTATCCACTGAGCCAAACCGGTTTCGGCGGTCTTTGATTTATGTCTTATCTAAAAATACTCTGGCTGCTCAGCAGACTAAGGGCCAGAAAAGTAGGTTTTTGTTTGATTGGTTGTAGTTTTTGTTTGTTTTATATTATTACCTTCCTAGCATATCTCGGGATTCTTTATTTTTCTTTTTTCAAATTCAAGATCTGCATTTTTAAGGGTGGATATTATATATGTACTGTGCCTTTTTTTTTTTTTTTTTTTTTTTTGTCATTCTGTCTGTACCTAAGCACTGTGGTTTTAGTTACATATATTTCCAAATAGTACTAGTATAATGGCATATTTCCAGGCATGTTTTGACAAAAAGAAAGACTATTAGAAATTGTCTCTTAAAAAGTCTAGGATGTGTAATTTCCTCACCAAAGCATTAGCACTGTTATTAGAATGGTCAGTGTGACTATTAAGAATGTTTAATGTACCATCAGCTGCCCCTTTCCTATAAGTGAGCTTAAAAACCTGGCCTTTGTAGGAGTTCCACTGTTAGATTTTTCTCTCTGATCCTTAGCTCTAACTTCCCTTTACAGAAGAGGTAGAATCAGGGCACGAAAATATAAGAACAAGACAACCTGTATTTTTCTGCAATATTTTAATGGGATTTCAAGAACTGTTTCACATTTTAAATCTGAACATGATTCAACTAAAATATGGTTTAGGTTTTATTTTTTGTTAGTAAACAAAATAAATTTGTATGTATTTATGTATAATGTATAATGATTTATGTATAATGACTTAGTCACATTATCCGTAGTTTTTAAACCACAATTAGAGACTGTATTTCTAATGAACTAGTTTTCTAGTTAAAAATAAGGGCAAAGAAATCTCATTTACCCATATATATACTAATGTTTATAAAACGCCACGTGATGACTAATTTCAGAAGCAATCTCCTAAGAGCCCAAATTAGAAAACTTAAATAAAGCACAGTCCTTCTAAAATGGGACTGTCATTTGGGAACTGCTCCTCCCCCAGTCATTTAAACTAGTTAAATAGTGACAGTCGCTACAAGAGAACTGGATGATTCTTAGCCATTTTACATTATTTTTTAACATTTATTTGAATGCTTCCTGTGTGCCAGAGATTGCTATACTCTTTACACGTGTCATTTCACTTGTTGGTCATAGAAACAACGGGTGAAAGCAGCAGTGTTCCCTTACATGAAAGAAAACAGATTAGGAGAGGGGGAGGGGGGAATGTTTTGCCTAATGTCACCCGGCAAGTGTCTGACAGCACCTGGACTTGAACTTCAAAGCCTTGCTTCTGAACCACGATTGCGAAATCAGAGACTGAAATCTTCCTCTTTATTGCTTAACTATCCCTGGACCAAAGGAGCTGCTAACTGTTAGTTAATTCCTGTCGGGAAGAGGAGCACTCACAGCTGTGGAAACAACAGCAACAAAACCAAAAATGAAAGTGCCCGAGTGGACTGGAGGACTTGGAGGAGGGAGACCTGAGTTTGCACTTGGCTGGGTTACTTAGCTCCTATCACTTTCTCCGGAAAGCCTCTCCCTACCACGTCCTCTTCTTGTTTTTCTCTGTTAGAAAGCTGAACTCCCTGAAAGAATCACCCTGTTGGAATGATTCTAAGATGCACCGCATTTTTATTTTAAGTAAAATCAGTATGGATCTTATCTTAAAATTAGTTGGCAGCATTCCTCCTTAATCATCGGTACCTAAAATAAGGATGTGACTTATGGTGGCATGTTAGATTTGGCCAAACGCAGTGTTTGGTTTACATGTGTTCCCAAGAAAATGTCTACATTTTCCCCCATGGTTTTAAATACCAGGTATAAACAAGGGTTTTCCACTTTCTAGTCCAGTATTCTTCTATGCTCCAGTCCTATAAAATTTCCCTTGCTATCACTGGGGTCACAGATTTTATGTCTGCTTCCCAACTTAGCTTGTCTTCTAGTGTTCCCTCCTCTCAGACAATAGCATCTACATTAGTACATTTGTGAACTAAAAAGCCAGAGGTTCGGCCTTCCAGGGTTTGAATCCCACTTCCGCCTCACACAGACCAGTGTTGTGAACACACGGTGAAGCGAGTCACCGGTAACACGGGGAGCGTCATCACACCTACCTGTGAGGATTGACGGTTAGGACAGCAAAACATGGAGTGCTAGGTGCCACTAACCGTCACATGTATCTGTGACCTCTCTCCTTACTCAGCACATGTAATTCACTCATCATCGCACCCTCTGGTAGGTAGACTCTTTAGAATATCTCAGATTCCCCCACTTTCATCTTGTTGCCACTTCTCCAGTCCAAGCCCCTGTTCTTCTTGCCTGTAGTAACTAATCTTGTAGCTTCTACTCTTTCCCATCTCTAATCCATTCAAGTTCTTAGACCCCTAGAGACAGTCTTTAAATCAGATCATGCCACTGCTTAAAACCCTTCCCAACACACTGGTATAAAACCCCAAATCCCTAACATGGGTAATCTGTTCTCAGTTTTATGCTTAGCCTCTGCCTGCTTTCAACCTCATTTTATGCCACTCTACCTCACGGTGTTGCTCGTTTCTCCCAAAACTCCCACTCAGTTTTCGGCTTAGGTCCCTCTTCCTCAGAGACAGTGCCTGATCTTCCAAACTAAATTAGGTTCTTCAGTCCTACTGTATAGTTCTTTAAAAAAAAAAAAAAAATTTTTTTTAAATTGATTTCAGAGAGGAAGGGAGATTGAGAGAGAGGTTGAAACATCATTGATGAGAGAGAAGCATTGATTGGCTGCATCCTGCATGCCCTCTACTGAGAATCAAGCTCACAACCCGGGCATGTGCCCTGACAAATCAAAACCGTGACCTCTTGGTTCTTAGGCGATGCTCAGTTCTTTATCATGAATGTATACTTTTTATACTTGGAGGTCAGTTCCTTCCCAACTGAAAGTAAAGGGAATGAGGTGATTTCTCCAAGGTCATAGAGCTTTAGTGATGGTAAAACTGGAATGCCAATCCAGGACTGTCATCTCCATGGTCCTTCCTTTGCTTCTTGATGGCAGAAAAGAGAATATGAATCAATGTGCTAATCAAAATATGGCCTTCTTTTCATTTAACTTTTGGGTTGTTCCTTTAGGAGTCATCTCTGTGTGAGCCTTCATTCTCCCAAATTAGATTACAAACCTGTTGAAGTAAGGCCTATTTCATATAGATGATATACCTAGTACTTATATAAATTGCCTTGCCTATAGTAGTTTCTCATTAAAAAAAACCTATTTTAATCCATTTAATCTTTTCAAGGTTTGACGCTGTCTCATGAATTACTCTTCTTCCCATGAGTGACAGAGTTCATTTTGTTGTCTTCTTTTATGCTAATGCAATGTTTTGTTTATTCTGTCCATTAATAACTAATATTTGAGAACATTTACCAGGTACAGTATTAATGGAACGTAGTCTAAGAGAAGTTCAATTTACATTTTCAAAAAATATGTTAAAAATTATGTTAATCTACCTACTTTTATGTATAGTTCTTTGACTGTAAGATAGGACATTTGGTTTACTTCACTAATGGGAATATCTCTTAATGCTGGATGGCCTCTTTTGGTATTTCTTCTGCTCTTGATGTTTGGCATAGTTACCTGTGATTGTTTGAATGGAGTTGTGGCCAGGTACTCATCATATTTACTTCAAACAAGAGTACATAACTGATTACTACAGGAATGAGGAGGTAGATGGGCAGTGCAACTGCCCAATACTTTTGAAGCCAGTAGGTTCAGCCTAAGGAATTTGGCCAAGATTCAGGCATAAAAGCCCATATGAGATATAGTATGAATCCAAATTCGGAGCTTAAGAAAAACAAAACAAAGCCATAACTTGATCTTTCTGGCAATGGAGATGATGAATTTTCCACTATTGCACTGGGACTTTAGATAATCAGTGTGGAGAGCCCAGGGCGGAGAGAGGAAACACTGAGCGGGAGGCTCAGTGGCTACAGCTCCCCCACCCCCCACCCCCCACCCGGGGCTTGGCCACATTTTGTTTTCATATTTTGAATTGAACCAGGCGCCTAAACTGATTTTAACGTGAAGTTGATAATTTGTGTCTTATGGATCATTATGCTGTTTTACTGGAAAAATAACTAGCCTTACGTATTTTGTTTCACTTCAGGAATTAAGTGACCTACAGCGTGACCCGCCTGCTCACTGCTCCGCCGGGCCCGTGGGAGACGACTGTAAGCTCTGCTTTTTTGCTAGCGTTTTGCTACAGTTAGTAATACAGGTTCTAACCTTTGTTAATGACTCCAAAACTCCTTTTTTTGTTTCAGTGTTCCACTGGCAAGCAACTATTATGGGACCTGTAAGTATGACTCCTATATATGAAATTAATCCCGTGCCATATTTACTTCTTGCCGTTTCCCCTTTGATCAGATATTTGTGGCTCGGGTTGAATTTTCTTGTGTCTGAATCACCGGGGAAGCAAAATATAATTACAGGGTTTATGATGTTTGTCTACAGCTCTGATGGTGAATCCTTCTAGGATCATTGTGATGTGTTTCCCTTTGCCACATCCTTGATCAGTTACACATAATCCTGGATCACCCACAATTTGTAACCAGGCTGTGTGTTTCCTTTGTCTTTTTTTTTTTTTTTTTTAGCACACAAAAATACAATTGTTCAGAACTAAGCATAGTAATTATCCTCACACCAGCCGTTTTAGTAGGTCAGAAATAAATGTAAGTAACCCAGTAATGAATTCCTACAAGTAACAAATACCAGTTTTGCACTAAGTTTTATCACTTCCCATTTGTGAGAGAGAGCTGATAAAATATTGTAGTGAGTCTGTCTTTGTCACCTCATGAATTTACTGCTTTTATTTTCCTTGGATTATCCTGAAGTCAGAATGAGCTGCTATTTTATGAGTGGCTTTTCTCAACACTTACTGCCTTTGTTTGTTAAGGTTGTTTCTACCCCCAAGAGGCAGTTATGACTAGAAAGAGGCTTTCCTTTCTATGAGCAAAAATGATTGTACAAGAGCAGGCACTGATAACTCAAAGATGCTTTCTGGGAAACATGGTAACATGTTTCCATGAACATCTTTCTCTCTCCTCTTCCCCACAAAGAGCTTTATCTTGTCTTTATAACTTAAAGAACAAAACAATTACTGATTTTTCGGAGGAGTACTGGGCAAGTATCTCAGTTACTAAATTGTTAGGTTAGCCTTTTAAAGGGTAAAATCAACATTTATTTAAACAACGTTTAAGAATCTGGTTGTTTTTGTTTTTCATTGCTTACAAAGAACCTTCAAAATACTATCTTTTAAAGACCCGTTTTACCACGTGAATTATAGCCCTTCAAAAATATTTCTTAGGTGAATTACATGTAGCAAATGGTTATAATTATGTTGCTCATACTCCCTTTATTTTAGCAATGTAAACATGTTATTCTATCATATTATTTGAAAATCTAAACAGAACATGACTGTCAATTGTAATTTACTTATGTTTTCTACATTCCTTATTGTTTTTTATGAACTAGAATTAAGCAACACATGCAGGAAGAATAATTATACAGTGCAGTCCTCTAATATATATGCAGAAACTTAAGGAAGAAGTAATGATAGTCTTGCTATTATAACCAAAATGTTAATACAACATGATAAATTTAATTAAATATAAAGGAATTAAAATAAAATTTTAGCTATTTTTTTGCTACCTTTAAAAAAAAAGTAACTTTTCTTCCTCACTTGTAGCATATTTTCTAATTGCTATAAAGATTCTTGGCCAAATTTAGATTCTTCTTGATTCCTAATTTGATAGTTTCATGAATATTGAATTTATTAGTTTTGTTTGGAGCCTTTTCACATTATTTTACAAATTATTATTGAATGAAGATTTGCCATCTAAATTGTGTAATGCTGTTCCTTAGCCTATCCTTTTCATAACTTGTTCTCTTCAGTTTCTCTCCATTTTTAAAAAATATATATATTTTTGTTGATTTTAGAGAGGAAGTGAGAGGAGAGAGAGAGAGAAATGTCAGTGATGAGAATCATTGATCAGCTGCCTCCTGCACACCCCACCCTGGGGATCGTGTCCTCCGCCCCAGGCATGTGCCCTGACCAGGAATGGAACCATGACTTCCTGGCTCATAGGATGACGCTAAACTCTTAAGCCACACCGGATGGGTTCATTTCCATTTTTGCCCCTTAAAGGACTATCAGGACTTCAGTTTCATAAATTAGAAAGTAAATACTAGCCCCAGCCCTTTTTTTCATACTGATTACTGCCACAGAAAATTATTCTTTTCTTACAGTAGTCTTGTGTGTATAGTGATATTTAAAAATCTGTACTCATAAACAGATTTGATTGGGCAAGTCACACAACTGTGTGTGTCCTATTTTTTAATTTGTTTTAAACTCTTTAATGTTGACATAATAGTTGGAAAATCCTCCTCCGTACGTGCAAAAGAAAGTCTCTTTTGCACGTAAGTAAAAGATTTGAACTTTTGACAAAATGATGGCATGTTTGTCAAACTGACATATTTTGGGTGGGGAGGGGGCTTATTTTAGGTTATCAAATAAATGTAGTAATCAAACACTGATGCAAATGTTTTGTGATTTCAGCCCGATAGCGCATATCAAGGCGGAGTCTTCTTTCTCACTGTACATTTTCCGACAGACTATCCTTTTAAACCACCAAAGGTATTTTTACTTTTGTGATTGATGACTCCTATGTCAGGGGTGTATCCAGAGATATTTTTATTATGTCCAAGACAAGTTAACATGTTCAACTGTTCAATAAAGCTATGAGTCTGAAGTATGCTTTCTTACTAAAAAAAATTGTATTATGTTTGTAAAACGAAAGGCAGTATCTGCTATGCTGTAAATTAGGTTCCTTTCTTTTCCTCTTCATTAGATCTCTGTAGTTTGGGTTTTATGGTTAAGAAACCAGACTTTTCCATTTAGGGGATTATTTTTCCAAAGTTGATTCTCTTTTCTCAGTTTTAAATATTCAACAAGCATTTATTGAACACCTACCATGATCTGTGACATTAGAGAATACAAAAGTAAATAAAGACACAGTCCTTTTATTTAGTGCTGGTAGGAGGGATAAAAAAACATGTTCTTATTCAACTTAGTTTAAATGAGATCTAAAGAGGGAACAAATGATGGGGAAATCAGGAGGGAGAAAATCATTAACTTCTGTCCTTCAGGAAACAATTATTATTTTTTTAAATTATAAGAGAAGCTCATTTAGAAAGTTACAGAGGTAGTAGAAATGAGCCAGCTGGGCTCGTAGGCTTGGGAAACAAGTTACAGAAGCAAAAGATGGGCCCTTCAAGCTTAGGAGAGAGAGAGGCAGATGTAACACACCTCGGGGGAGGAGAGGGGCCAGGGAAAGGTGCAGGTGTGCTCTGGAGAGGACAGCAAATAATTATTTTAGATTTTTAAAAATATCTGAATAAAGTTATTCTATATAATAAAAGCCTAAAATGCTGTCTGTCATCCATTCAGTAAATCAAAGTGTAATATGCTAATGATATGATGGTGACATGCACTGACCACCAGGGGGGCGATGCTCTGACAGCTAGGTTAGCTTGCTGCTGGGGTCCTGTAAATAGGGACTGAGCCAGATGGGCCGAACATCCCCTGGAGTCCCCCTGCAGTCCCTCCCTGGCTGGCCAGCCTCCTGGATCCCTCCCCGACCCTGATTGAGCACGGGTGGGGTCCCTCGGCCTGGCCTGCACCCTCGAGCAATCTGGGACCCCTCCGGGGATGTCGGAGATGCAGGAGCTGCCCCCTGGTGGTCAGTGCCCATCCACAGGGGGAGTGCCACTTAGCCAGAAGCCAGGCTCATGGCTGGCGAGTGCCATGGGGAGCGAGCCTACGCTAGCAGTTGGATATTTGCAGGGTGGGCTAAGAGGCCCCATCCCTGAATGCATGAATTTCATGCACCGGGCCTCTAGTATACACATGAAATGGCATAAAAACAAGTCTTGTGGGAGATTAGGATTCCTGGTGGATTTCTTAGGACACGTTACAAACTCAGGCCCCTCCACTTTCCCCCAGAAGGGGTCAGCACCCTATTTTTAGACGTTAGTGTCACTTCCAGGTATCCTTGATAATCAAATTAAGAAAAGGATTACTTTAGGGGATCATTAAAGCCATGGTTAATTACTTCAGCTGCTACTCAGCAGTCATATCAGCTCTTATATTTATTGCACTCTCCAAAAATATTTCAGTTTCTTGCTGGAGGTGGCGGAGTTGGGGGGAGAGGAAGAAGGGGGAACATGGGTGGAGAAAGTGGGAGAGTGGGAAAACTTTATCTGCTTTCACATCTCCAGTAGCTAAAATTTTGTGTACACAAAGTGGATGTTCATTCAATTTATGTTGAATACATTTCTCTACTAGGTTGCTTAAATTTAAAGGCATTTTACCTTAGAGTAAGCTGGTTCTGTTTTGTTCATGGATTGTCACATTTTTATTTTGTTTTGTGTTATATTTAGATTGCTTTCACAACAAAAATTTATCATCCAAACATAAACAGTAATGGAAGTATTTGTCTTGATATCCTGAGGTCACAGTGGTCACCAGCTCTGACTGTATCAAAAGGTAATTTCATTTATCAGATATATGACAGTTGATAATAGTGAAACAAGAAAAACACAGAAGTATCTAAGGCCCAACGTTTAAAAAAAAAACAAAAAATCTGTTTTATCCTGCTTTGATTTTGTTTGATTTTGCTTTGCTTTCGAAGCTCTTATATGTATCCTTTTTAGCTTTTTTATGTTTTTATTTATTTCAGAGAAGAAGGGGGAGGGAGAAAGAGATGAAAATATCATGATGAGAGAGAATCATTGATTGGCTGCCTCCTGCATGCCCCCTACTGGGAATTAGGCTCACAACTCAGGCATATACCCTGACTAGGAATCAAACCGTGACCTCCTGGTTCATAGATTGATGCTCAACTACTGAGCTACACCAGCCAGGCCTCTTTAGCCTTTAACAGTTAATTTGATTGGGGTGGTATTGGTAAGCAGATCTAAATGATGAAGTAAGAGAAATTTAAAATGTTAGAGGTAGAAATTTGGGGATAAGCCTCTTGACATTTTACCCTTTAGTTTTAGCTTATCTCTTTAAAAAGAGGAAGTGCGCTAGCCGCTTGGCTCAGTGGATAGAGCATCAGCCTGGGGACTGAAGGGTCACAGGTTCGATTCTGGTCAAGGGCATATGCCTGGGTTGTGGACTCAATCCCCACTAGGGGGCGTGCAGGAGGCATCCGATCAATGATTATCTCATCATTGATGTTTCTATTTCTGTCTTCCTCTTTGAAATCAATAAAAAATAAAAAATAAAAATAAAATAAGAGAGAACTAAATATATGATTTTAGGGCCCACTGTCCCATTTATTAAATGGAATTATTGACATAATGATTAAAGGTTTACATTTGTTTTACTTCATCTAAGAAGAAATATCAGATTAGGTTGATAAAATAAATGATTTAAGACATATTTCACATTTTAGAATGATGCAATACATATAACATTATTCTAAACTAATGATTTTCAATGTTTTTCATCTATGACACAAACAAACTAATTATTAAAATCCTGTGACACACCCAAAAAATATATTTTTCCTGATCTGAGAAAAAATACATATATTTTGATTCATTCACACCAGACAGCTATTGTTGTGTTTGCTATTGTCATTTTTTTATTTGGTAATCTAAGGAAAAAGATGTCAGTGCCCCTGACTAAATGCTCTGGTATTGTGTGTTTTAAAAATTCTTCAGCATACCAGATGAAAATCACTGCTCTAAACTTTGAGTAATCAATAGCATTATCATAATGACTAATACATACACCATGTGGATTCTTAACTTTCAGTAATCTGTAACTTTGTTCTTTGCTAAATTATCAGATGTGTACTCTGAATCCCTTTTTGTTTTTTTTAGCAAACACTATTTGCTTTGTGAATCCTCTTAATTCAAGTCTTGTTTATCTAAACAGAAGAGCACCTGACAGTTGGAAAATATTGTTTTGAGTTAGAAGCATCTGCCCCTGAAGTAACTTGGTAGATTTTCCTTTTATAAAATTTAAGGAAATTGTTTCTCTTGAAGGATTCATGGAGAGATCCTTGGTCATTTAAAAATTAAAAGAAATAAATGCTACCTGAATATATGACTTGTTTTTAAAAGCGATGAGGTTTATAGGAAACAGATTCTACAGCCATCATTTTTTCAAGTATTAGGTAAATAATAGCCCTTTATGTCCGTCAGTTATTTGTGAATGGCAGTTTTTCTGACCTAAAATGTTCGTATAAAATGTTCATGTAGATTCCGTTGTCTTTTAAAAAATATTTCCCATAGTGTAACTGTTATGCACTAGACTAGATGTAGGCAAGATTCTGTGCCAAAGGGTTATTCAAACTCATATGCTCTTTCCTGGAAGGGCATCAGAAGCTATAATTCATTTGGCATACGCAGCTAAATACTTACACATACAAAGGAAATGGCAGACTGCCAGATGTTGAACATTTATCTTCTGACGTTGGTAGCTTTTTATAAAGCATAATTAGTATTGATGCTTTCTGGTAACTATCTTTAATAACAGTTTCAAATGGCCTCAGTTTCCTCAAAGCTAAAGTGAGAATTATGATAATATTACTACATAGGGTCACTATGCACCTGACACATAGTAAGCACACATAATTTCCACTTTAAGCAAAGCTAAAGTGGGACTTATGACAATATTACAACATAGGGTCACTATGCACCTGACATATAGTAAGCACACAAATGAGTCAACATCCTCTTTTCCTTATCTTAAAACATTGGATTTTTGTGCGTAATAGTGAAGTCAGGGCCCGTGGCTGGGCAGCAGGACTGGGGAGACGAGGAACTCGCCTCTTGCTTATTTTGTAAGGTAGCTTATACCTACTACCTACAATACAAATGTTTTAATGTCTTTTGATTTTTATCTGGGAACTTTCTGGAGACATTAGCCCAGATAATCGTGGTTAAATATGCAATGGAAGATAAGGAAGGTAAATTAAATCTTAGTTTTAATATTAGTGCTCTTAGCACCAGCTTTTCATGTCATCTAAGAATCAACTTTGCTTTCTAAGTTCACCCGTGGAATGTGACGAATAGGAAAAGATAAGGGAACATAGTAGAGGAGGCTGACAATCCAAAGTCTTTCCAAAAATCCCATGACCCCCTCAGAAGTGGCGGCATGCAGTGAAGGCAGAAGAGGAACCAATCTTGTTCCCTCTTTTTTCAGATACTTAGATTTGTGTGTGTGGCTATTTGTATTGGTATTTGATGTAATGTGGCAAGAAACAACTATTTTTAAAATTTTCATCTATATTTAAAAATGTACAACTATTGACTTTATTTTTATATGTATGTGATACAAATAATATACATGGAATAAAAGAGTCGTTGAGAAAATTATTACAAATCTTCCTTCTTTGTGGACACTGTATAGCACTAAGCCAAAGTGAAAAAGTACATAGCACAATGTCCAAATGGTAACTGTAATTTGATTGCTTTACCTTGAACTGATTAGAACACAGATTTTCTGCATTAAAATAGAATAAAATGGACAGTTTTCTCTACAAAAATATTTCTAAGAGACATCTAAAATTAGGATGCTATTCTAAAAAGTTTTTTATTATGTATCATTTGGGGTATGTGTGTGTTACCAAAATGTTTTTGTAAAAAACACTTGAATTTAAAGGTTATAATAGCTACTTTAGAGGTACACGTTTTTTAAGTAAATAGAAATTCAAATACAATTTAAACCTTAAAAATTATAACCTTTCAATTAATATATACTATAGTAATTTTATAATTTTAAACATTAAAAATACTTGCTACTAGCTATAGTCTAAAATGTAATTGAATGTGTTTTGTTTTCTTTATAAGTTCATTGTCATATTCAATGAAATTATTTTTACATATGTAATTGCATAAAGAAGAAAGATTATTATCTAATATGGTGTTCTCTTTTCAATATAGTTTTATTGTCCATATGTTCTCTACTTTGTGATCCTAATCCAGATGACCCCTTAGTACCAGATATTGCACAAATCTATAAATCAGACAAAGAAAAGTAAGTGTTTACTATATTTACTTCTGTTTGTATATATTTCTTTGTGGTCTACCAAAATATAAGTATTGCCAATATATTTAACAATACATTTAGTTGTACTTACTATACTTACATTGATTTTTGTTTTTCTTTCCAGTGTAGTAAACCTTTCTTTTTAAACTTTATTAGTTGTTTTTTTGTTTGTTTGTTTGTTTGTTTTTACAAAAAAACAGTCTTATTCCTTTACACATATTGTTTAATCCTTTATTTTTTAACTAGAGGCCCAATGCACAAAATTCGTGCAAGAGTAGGCCTTCCTTCCCCCGGCTGCCAACACCGGCTTCCCTCGAAGCCCTGACTTCATCTGGAAGGACGTAAAATTAGCCTATTACGCTTTTATTATTATACATAGTACACCTTCTGTATTTGCACAGTATGTTATGTTTTTGGTAGGAAATAACTATATATAATTCTAGGGAGTAAATTTAAAAATTCTAAGGCGTAAATTTGATAATTGGAAAGTGTTGGATGTTATATTCTTAATCTCCCACGGAAAAAAGTTATTCCTAAGTCACCCAAACTGACCTAGTTTTCAAGCTGCTTCATCTTACTGGTACCATATATTCATTTGTAATTTATAAATAATGCTCATTGCCTTTTATAGATCATTATTATAAATTGCTATTTTTTTTTCATTTTGTTATTTATAATTTAGGTATGTTTTCATATAGGTTGTTCACAAATCCATCAGGTAAAAATTTGACTTCAGTTTTCTGTTTTATTTATTCATAAGGTTAAGTCACATTGACCCAATAATTGGTATACATATGATTACTGCACATAAGCATAGGAAGGTAGAATATACTGTTTTATGTAGATAGATCTTCTAAAAGATTCAACTTGTATGTTTTTACTATATCCCTTTTGTATGCCTACAGATACAACAGACACGCAAGAGAATGGACTCAGAAATATGCAATGTAAAATAAAAAAAATTTTCATATATACCAGAGTACTGTAAAATCTAGGTTTTTTTCAATATTAGCAGTAAATTGAGCACTGTTTACTGTTTCATTGTATCATGAAATCCTTTGATTTTTATCCATTTTAAATGTATTTCTGAAGCAAGACTAAACCAACTTTCAAAAACACCCTTAAGACTGTGATGAGAGCATTTATCATTTTGTATGCATTGAGAAGGACATTTATTATGGATTTTAAGATACTTGGACATCTGCATCTTCAGCTTACAAGATCTACAAAGCATCTGAAAAGTAACCAAATTATTTTTTGCTGAAATTAGATGTTTTTACATGAGAAATACTGTATGTGTTGTCTGTGTCGTCAGTTTTATAAATCTATTCAGATTTCATTCTTTGTTAGCTCACTTTATAATTTGTATTTTTTTACTGTATAGACTAAATATATTCTATTTACATGTATGTCAACTCATTACTTTTTTCCTGTGAACAGTATTGAAAAAAACCGAACAGCTGATAATTAAATGAATTAACTGTCTCTCTCCCTTGTCTTAGGGTTTTCTGTGTAGATCAATTGCAGATTTCTTAAACCTGAATGATCTTTACACTGTAATTCTCAGTATACTGATTATGGAGAAACACTTGTTTTGATTTTGTTATACTTGACTTAACTTTATTGCAATGTGAATTAATTGCACTGCTAAGTAGGAAGATGTGTAACTTTTATTTGTTGTTATTCACATTTGAATTTTTTTTCTGTATAGGCAATATTATAATGACACCTTTTACAGATCTTAATGTAGCTTTTCCATATAAATAAAATGCTTTTTCTACTACTTGTCTTGATTACTTAAAAAGATAAAATCATACTTTATAAGTAAAGGATCAAAACTCTATGTTAAATTTTGCAATGAAATTAATTCCCAATTGTGAGACTAAGTTCTGTTGATTTGGCTAATTAACCACCATTTATATACATTTTATTGCTTTAGCTTTTTATCTGTTCAATAAATTGTCTGTCTGAAGGTGATATAGTTTGGTCCCTTGTTATAGAAGAGAATTTAGAATAAGTTAGGGTTTGTCTTGGATCACAACTAACATGGATTATTTACTGAAGTACTAAATTGTGTGTGTATAAGATAGGGTCACCCACACTGAAGAAAGTCTTCATAGACCTGAAGAATAATTAGGTTAATCTATTAAAATATCACTGTGATGTAACTGTAATTGCATTTCGTCACATTTTAAAATTTAGAATTTCCAAAATAGAATTTTAGTGCCATCCAGTTTGAAATAGAACATCCTTTTTTTTTTTTTTTTTAACTATAGGAGTTCTAGAGAAAATTCTAAAATGATGCTTCTCCTGGCTTTATAAATTGCCAGTAAAAAGTAATTAAATAAACAGGTTATCTTTGCAGATTTTAAAGAAGCTTGGGAAAACTTGGGAAAAATACGTCTCTAATTATTAGCATGTTTACTAAACTTGAGTGAGTGTCATTTAAGCAGAGTTGTAGCTCTTCTGATTATGCAGTAGCTGTCGAAGTGTGCAAGAGTCTGTGATGGGTGTCGTCATTAGCACGACATTTAAATCACTGACGTATTTTACCGTGGTTCATTATTATTAAAACACAGAATAACCCGCTGTTAGAAAGTGTGTTTTTATAAATGAATGTAAAATATTTAAATGAATTGTGAAATGGATGTTTAAGAAAGTACAGGTTTAAAAGTAATTATATTAAGTGATGTCTTGAAACAGGCATATTATGAAGAACACTATTATTAGCTATATTATTATAAGCTATATTCCCCCAGAATTTGAACACTCAACATCATTAGATTTTAGTATTTAGTATATTTTGATAGGGATTTTGTTTCATGAGTATCTTTCACTTTTTTTATAAACTTTTCATTTGTGTGGCATTTATTTTTGGAAGTGTCTTTTTTTTTCTTTATTAAAGTTTTTGAAACTTGCCTAACTCTTGTTTGCCTTTCCTTACATCTGAATTGTAAATCCCAAGCCAGGGGCCTTCCTCCACAGAGTAATCTTGAACTTCAGGACCTCCTTGGAGTGAGGGAAATGAGTAGCCTTTTGGAGATTTAGGATCCTCCTCGAAGACCTGGATGCTTCAAGATCTGGTTGAAAACTATCGTTAAGCCTTATCTGGTTTGGCTCAATAGATAGAGCGTCAGCCTGCGGACTGCAGAGTCCCAGGTTCGATTCCGGTCAAGGGCAGGTACCTTGGTTGCTGGCACATCCCCAGTAGGGGTGTGTAGGAGGCAGCAGGTCGATGTTTCTCTCTCATCGACGTTTCTTGCTCTCTATCTCTCTCCCTTCCTCTCTATAAAAAAATCAATAAAATATATATTTTTAAAAAAACAAAAACTTAATGATAGAAACAGTACCACATATAGTATTCATTGCTCTTATTACAATGATCTATTTATCTCTGTATATGATTCAGTCATTGATATTTCACAGGATCCTGCCCTCTCACAGTTCTGAATTTTTAAAATTTTTATTTTTCAATTACAGTTGGCATACACTAGTATATTATTTTCAGGTGGATAGCCCAGTTATTAGACATTTATATAACTTATCAAGTGAATAAGTAAATCTAGTATCTGACACCATTTAAAAAAAAATATATATATATATATAGATATGTTCTTACTGATTTCAGAGAGGAAGGAAGAGGGAGAGAAAGATAGAAACATCCATAATGAGAGTCATGGATCAACTGCCTCCTTCAAATCCTCCCCCTGGGGATCGAGCCTGAAATCCAGGCATGTGCCCTTGAGCGGAATCAATTGGGATCTTTCAGTCTGCAGGCCGATTCTCTATCCACTGAGCCAAACGAGCTAGGGCAATCTGACACCATTTTAAAATGGAAACATAGGACACATACCTTGCTCCCAGGCTGGATCCCCTGTTATGGTGCATGCAGGAGGCAACCAATCAATGCGTCTCTCTCTCATCGATGTTTCTCTCTTTCCTCTTTCTATTCTCTAAAAATCAGAAAAATATCCTTGGGTGAGGATTTAAAAAAAAAAAAAGGAAACAGGCAAATTCTTTTCTCTAAGATTAAAAAGAAATTCCTGGTCTTCAAACTATTTATATCATGTTTATTTTTTAGTAGTCAACTTGAAATAGACTCAAAATGCAGCCCAGTGAATGATTTAAAATTTGAGTTCTGCAGTAGAATCAGCAGTCCTGTTACTTATTCTTATTAGGACCAACCACCGAAAATGTGATTAATGCTTTAGCCATGGCCATGTGAACAGGGCTCCAGTGTACTCAAACTGTTGACCTTGGTCTCTTAAGATATAACAGAGTACTGCTTTTCAGAAAAGTTTGTTTATAACTTTTAAGTGATTATTAAAACAATAACATCTGAATTTTTAGAGTTCAATTCTATAACTCTATTAACTGTAAACTAGAAGTTTCAAAAATATTCTCTTTAAAGCTGAAGTTTAATTGCAATTTAAAAGCCCTAAAATGTAATTAGGTTATTTGTGAAAGTTCTCATTTTTTATAGTGTTTCCCTTTTACTGTTAGGACAGTTGTTGCTACAAATGTAAGGCAGCAGGCAGAGATTCATCTATTTTCACTTGTGAAAAATCATATGCATTGTCATTTTTCCTTTTTTTTTTTGCTATGGAGTGATAGCGGTAAACTTCTCTTAAACTGTAATTGATGCACTTTCAAAAGGAAGTTTTTTTGGAAGTGGTGGTAACTGAACATTAGTGGGCAGCTGATATTTTGATTGTAGAAATAAGTTATAATGTATTAGTGTGGGTGGTATGTTACACTAAAACTTCTGTTCCCATTGTCCTGTTATATTAGGAATGTGGTTTTAAGTTATAAATGAACTGAACTAATAAGAGGGACTATTCTAGCATTACTAGCATTTGGGGGTATTTTTATGTAATAAGCCACATTTCTTTAAAAATTTATTTTAACATTCTCTTAGGTTCTGTTTTGGAGGGAGGGACATGTCCTTCTTACCTGGGGAGGAAGTTGTTTTTATTGGTCCGAGCTGTGCTTTCCCCACATCATGTACGTGATTGTGTTACGCTCTCTAGTGCAAAAGATCACTGTGAGTTTGTGTATGAAATATATATAAGGGAGGAACAGATAGCACCGCTGTGTTATCACTCAGATGCACTTGTTTTGGCAGGTCCACGACCACCCATGCATTCAGTATGTCCATAGAAGACTTCGCAAGGCAGCATATGGCCGCACTCACAGTTTTATTTATTATAGTGACACAGCAAAGACACACAGCTGGGTGGATCAGTAACGGGACGGAGATAAGAAAGAGAGTCTGGAGGAATCCATGTGCAGGCTTCCTGTGTTCTGTCTGGAGAGGCACAGAGAGTGACTCTGAGATGCAATAACAGCACAGTGTTTCTGTCCAGGAAAGTCTGTTTGAAATGCTAAGTCCAGATGTTTTGGGGGGGAAGGGGGGGTCGGGGTGGGGAGAGGGCAAGGAGGGACTAGATCGTGTAGATACTCTGATCTTTCTGAAGAAAAGCAAGTGTTTCTCATAAATCACATTATTTAAAACCTCTAGTCCAGGGGTCTGCAACCTATAAGACATAAAGAGCCACTTGGACCCGTTTCCAAAGGAAAAACAAACAAACCTGGGAGCCACAAAACCATTGCGACATTTAAAACAAATATAACACTGCATATATTGTTTCTTACCTTAATGCTATATACCGGATCGTGCAGTTAGCTGTCCATCTGAAGAAAAAAAGGACTTTTTCACTTAACAATGAAAAATATATTTTTGCAAATTAATAGCTAATTAAAATATTTAATTTACCTGGTTAATGGGATTTTTGCTCCTGAACCTCAGTGCACAGTGTCAGCACATCAGGGCTGTAAGACATTACCTTCATTTTCACACAGGCTTCCCAGTTGTCGGAGCCACGGCAAAGCTTCAAAAGAGCCGCATGCGGCTCTGGAGCCGCAGGTTGCCGACACCTGCTCTAGTTAGCCCAAGCCAGTTTGGCTCAGTGGTAGAGCGTCGGTCTGCGGACTGAAAGGTCACAGGTTCGATTCCGGTCAAGGGCATGTACATTGGTTGCGGGCACATCCCCGGTAGGGGGTGTGCAAGAGGCAGCTGGTCGATGTTTCTCTCTCATTGATATTTCTAGCTCTCTATCTCCTTTCCTCTCAATAAAATATATTTAAATAAATAAATAAATAAATAAATAAATAAATAAATAAAACCTCTAGTCAGCCCTGCAGTTACAATGTCACATAAGGAAAGCGCCAGGAGCCAAGTTCCTAGATGCCAGCTGAGGGCCAGCCTGGGAAGCAAAACCTTTAAAGCTCAGGTCTGCACCATTAATAGAAAAGCTGAATCTTTTCCCTTGAGTGGTTTTGGTATTTCCTTCAAAATCAACTAATCGTAGAGGCTTATCTCTGGGTTCTCAAGTTCTATTGATTTCTACACTTGATGCCAATACCAACTGGCATTGATGAATCAGAAAGGAGGGTGGGTTTTCCAACTTTGTTCTTCTTTTACAATATTGTGTCGACTATTCCAAATGTTATTTTAGGGTTGTGTTTGCTAGTATTTTGCTGAGGATTTTTGCATCTATGTCCATGAGAGAAGGTGGTATGACCCACAATGCAAATATTTGGATTGTGGTGCCCACCAAATGAAAGCTGAATTAACTCTCAGTATCAGATACAATAATAATTATGGGCATTTTCTTCCATTGAACCTGATCATCCAGACATACTCAGAGGCTCAAAGAGGCTGCTTCTGGTACTTTAACATTCTCAGGATATTTTGTGTCTTATTTCCCTTAGACACATGAA